AAATCACAGATGCCATCTATTAGACCTGGACATGTGAATGAGGTAGTCGTTCTTCGATCGGTCATTAACCTAAGCTGTAATAAGAAACCGGGGTATCCATGGGGTTACATCCACGATTGCTTTCATCCCTTGCCAACCTTATTTCAGGGCCACTCACGAAGTTCTCCAACATATCCCTTGACCAAACTCAAATCCCTAACGATTCGAAAGAATCTATAGTTAGTCCTATATTCAAATATGACCAGAGACAGATCATGCCTAACTACTGACCTGTCAGTTGAAACGGTATAGTAGTCAGATTACTTGAAATGTTAATTCAGCTTAAGTCACCAAGTTACATAGAATCATAACCTTCGTCAAATCACGAGCAACACGAATTTCGAAATAGGCATTCATGACTATACAACTAACGTTTTACGAGAGTGGATTAAATAACAACCCAAGACAACTGTCTTTCTGTCAATGTGATATTCATAGACTTTATCAAAGCATTTAATAAGATTTCGCATTTATGTTCTATGCAAAAACTCTCGGGCTTCGGAATAACATATGCTGCAACGGACAAGAAACTTCCTCTGTGGGTTGAAGAAAGAGAGTAGGGGTGAATGGGATATATAATCGCGTCCGGCTAAAAGTGGAGCACCCAAGGCACCATCCTAGGTCCTCTACCTTTTTCCTCTACGTCGATGAATTACTACCATTACTCAAGTCATCGACATCAACATCTGGAGAATAATAAAAGTGAGGCTGATCATTTTTGTTCCCAAGCTGACCTAGACCAACTAGATGGATGGTTCCAAATCTGGAACTTAGTGACTAATTTCAAAAAGCGTGCTCATGCACATCGGACAAGCTAATAGTTGTCAGTGTATTATCAAAGGTACACCGCCTCCATGCGTGCAAGAACACAAAGACTTATGGGTGATTGTAAGTCATGATTTTAAAAACACGTACACACTGCAACTCAGTAGCCACTAAAGGTTTTCGAGCATTATACTTACTTTTCCGTGTATTAAAATGCTTTTACGAGATGTTTCGAATTTTATGTCCTGACTATGTAAGTTCACATCTAGAGTAGTGTAATCAGGAAGCCAGTACATGTCTTATTAAATATACTAACTTGCGTGAAGGTATTCAGCATGTGGGGACAAAACTAGTGAAGAGTCTACCCAGACTGCCTCACATTCAGCGCTCAACACATTTAAACCTTTCTACCTTATCGTATTGTAGGATGTGAGGTGACTTCATATTGGCATTCCATAACTTTGTTACGATTTGGGTGTTGATATGTTTTGTTATTTTGCTCCATCTATCAATAATAATCTCCGAGGCCATAACAAGAGGGTCCAAAAACCGCGATCCAGTCAGCTCGGAGTAAAGGTTTGTTCTTCTAATTTAGTGACCGATGCGTGAAAGGCCTTACCCAAACAAGTAGTATGAGTACTATCAGTGGATATTTTCAAGGAGAAGCTGGATCTTCACTGGAAAGAGAACAGAGAGGATTAACACAGATCCACCAACCAGCTTTCCCTATTACTGAAGACTGATGTCATCAGAAAATCTGAGTAAAGTTTTATTTCTATTTTATGTACAGTTCTGACAAATCCATACCGTCAAGTGTTTCTTTGACACAAAATAAAGCGTTGAACAACAAAGAGGGTAGTTAGTAAACAAGAGTTAGATACTTGAAAAGAAACAAAAGTATTTCCGACAAGATTAGATCCCATATCTGTCTTCAAGGGTTCCGGTAACCTTAACAAGTAGACAGCCAAAGGTTAACAGTCATAAACTGAACCATGCCGTGACACACAGTTTGGTCAAACACAACCTTATTGTCAAAGATCAGGCTACGCCCAACAGTAAATTAATTAATAAGAGGTAAGTATTTGACAAAAATCAAATAACAAAAACCCTGACAAGGAATATTAAAGAACATAATATGTGGTCAAAAAGATACCTAAATGAAGGTTGAAATACAAAACAAGGAGAACAAACAAATAGATGACAATACTGTCTAGTGAAACGCTGCAGAGGGATTCTCAGCATTTTCTTTTCGTTACAGATGGTCTATATGGTATTAAATACAAACATTAAATAAAATTAATTGCATATTCATTTTGGAATAAGACATCCGACGAACGTGTACCTGTCTAATGCATTATTTTAATGCTGTTGATTAACTGGTACCCGGTTTCTTAATTAATTCGAATGCCTTGGATGTGAATCTTCTAAATATTTCTTTATTAACTTGTCTACCTATTCATCTGTCGATCGTATTCTATTATTATATCGATCCACAAACACTTAAGATGCAATGACAAATTGGCATTCTGGACAGTTTGCACTCATTTCAGTACAATACGGGTTACATTAATATGACTGGTTCTGGATTTTTTCTTCACAATACAATTGCTGAATATTTTTTTAGTTCTACTGTTATTTCTATTCTAATACACTTCCTGGTGATTCTTGAGGGGTTGGTTGAAAAAATCTTAATTTTTTATTGTTTATTTTCCTTTGACAGACCAACTTTGCTGAGACCTAAAACTCATCAACTAGAACGTCAACGCGAAAATGCAGTGTTCCATAGCTAGCGAAGGTATCTCAAAAGCCACGTTGCCGCACAACAGAACGTCAAAGCAGTCATTAGTATCGCCGTAGATGCATCCAACTCGACCATTGTAGGAGTCATACAACACCTGGCAACCTTCGCCATTCCTCCCGAAATAACTGCTTGACACTAAGTCGAGGTATAGTACTTTCCGCAGGAAACTCTTAGTCATATGTTGTGTTGAACAACACTTTCAGTACTCTGTGGAAGGCCGAAACTTCACTCTGTTTACCGACCATAAACCTCTTACCTTCTGTTTAAGTTCATCTCCAGACAAGCACTTCACTTCAGATTCTCGACAACTGGGATGCATCTCACAGTTCCCTTCAGATATACAAAACGTTTTTGGGACAAACAATGTTATTGCAGACGCTTCATCTCGCACTACCTCCTTAACAGTTTCCAAGGCATCGACATTCAAAAAGAAAACAGTGGTATTCAAGACGGGTTATTTTCGATAACCATGAATCTATGGATCAAACAGATGGCAACAGGTACGGAAACTTTACTGTATGACACACCTTTAGGTGAGAATCGCCCAATCGTGTCGAAACATTATCGATGCAACGTTTCCAACACGTTGCACAAACCTTCTCATCCAACTGTTTGAGCAACCATCAAGTCCATAACACAACGATTTTGTTGGGCTAGTATAAAGACACGAAGAAATGGCCACGCTCCAGTGTAAACTACCGGAAATCTAAAGTGATTAGACACAACAAATGTCCCTTATGCTCTTTCACAACTCCCGACGCCCGTTTCGACCTACACCAAATTCAGATGAACACTCTTACTTCTCAACGTGTATGTACAGTTTCACACGTTGGCACGAGGCAGTGCCTATCGAAGACATTACTGCTTAAACAGTGGCCTGCGCCTTCGTCAAATGATGGGTAACAAATTCCAGTTGCCTTTCAACTATAACTACAGACCGTGAACGCCAGTTTGAATCTGGACCACCCATAAACTAACAGGTTGGTAGAACGATTTCACTGACAGCTGGGATCTTCACTCTAAGCTGCAAATGCTTCACAATAGACCAACTCTCTTCCACTTGTTTTACTCGGTATTCACAATGCAGTAAAAGCTGACGTTGGATGGACTGCAGCACAACTTGTTTACGGAAAGTCACTCTGACTACTAGAAGGATATATGAATTCTTCATCTCTTTCAGTGAATATGGGTCTAAACCCCTACGCATGCAGGCTTATAAACACCATGGGTTCAGTTAAACCTGTTTTCCTTTTACCTAAATCAACTCAAATTTCCGTTCAACCTGTCTTAAGACATAGTACATATGTTTTCGCACGTCACGATTCATCAAGACCCCTCTAAATTGCATATATAGGACCCTTCAAAGTCCTTCGCAGCATACATGAATACTATATCATCGTTATGGCCGAAACGTCAGCACTTACTGTCTAAAACCTGAAAATTTAGAAGGAAACCATGTCATTCTTGATCTTCTTTCCGTACAAGCGAACGATATTAGCTTGAAAATTGTGACGCAACCCTTTGTCGTAAGTTTTGCATGCCTACGTACATACTGGTGTATCTAGACATCCACTTATATTTTCACTTCTTTACTTTGCAGAACGGATGGAATAGATGAAAAACTGACGAAATATACGACGGATTGAAATTTTCACTGTATATTTTTTACTGTCACATTGTACCATCCAGCCCCTTGTATTGGGGAAAGATTACTAGATGCTGATGAACATAGCAAGCAAGGATGTTAATCAACGGCAAGCTCGTTAGTTGTAAAATTCCAACTGACCACATCCACCACCTCACTAGGAGGAGGAGTGAGCTGTAGCGGTAAGCCAGTCCTCAAAATAAATAGTTCTGTAAGTATCCGACAATGACAACGACCTTATTAGTTTTACGCGACACACCCATGCTGAAGTGCCCGGTCACGCATCTGCACCAGATCGCCAGTGGTTATGCCGTTCTTCTTATTCCTTTTCAACTACTAACAACCAAATCCTTCTCAGTGGGTAAGACCTTCCGGATAAAAATACCAGGCAATTAAATTTCTATTACTGAGGACTGGGTAGTTGCTCAAACTGTCTGTAATCAAGAATTCATTCATCACTCATTGGATAACCAGATACAACAAGAATTTGTATTGTTTTGAACATATAAGACCATAGTATATTAAAAAATGTACCTTCTCCAACAATATGTTCCCAACGAGTTGTCACGGCGGACATTTTTCATGAGATTTCTAATTCAATAAACAAACGTGAAAATTACTGTTTATTCTGAAGGTCTTATACATTTCTGATATTCATCAAAGGATGAGGAAGTCTAAGTTTGAGAAAATAATCAGAAGATGTAGGGTTTCACTGATAATAAAATTATACAGTTTATCACATCTGATGGTGTTTAAGTATACGAACAGCTAATTGCGGGATTACAGTTGTTAACGCTGCACATCTATGTCTCGCTCATCAAAAGAAGATTGGGTTTGTAGTAATCCGAAGTAAGATTACTAACCTTCAAAAAATAAGTTTTTAGATGTAAAAATGTGAATTTTGCTAAAAGGGACAAGTGCAACCGCTGTGACAAGCCTAGGAAATTTGTGGCCCCAGGTAATGCTGGTTTAGAGGTCGGGAAACAACTAGCCGAAAAAAGCAAAGGTCTTTTCAGTCCAGATGATTGGATTTGTAAGACGTAAGTGCGTGACGAAAATCTTTAATGATTTCGAGTGCAGACACGTGCTGTAGTTCGGTGTCACCTTAATGGCTACTCATTATAAACCGTTACTTCGTCGTAAATAAGTTTATGTAACGTCTCCGTAACAAGATTGCTCATGGTTTTCCATCCTTCAGGAAATTCGACTCATCACACTCAGTTTTGCTAAACTCAAGTTTCGGTTATTTGCTTTTATTGACTTTTCATGGATGGTGCCAATGTATGAAAACAAGCTAATGCTATTCTATAAGTGACTGTAGAAAATAAAGTCAGTAATCGGGGTTATGATTCAGAATAAGGAATCCGTGTCACGGCTTTTACCACGAACTGACTTCACTTATAATACTGCACTATGTAACTTTCCGTGTCCACCAAATGCAGCTATATAAATTTTGAGCACGTACTTTCTAAAATCTGATCTGTTCGTTCCTTTATCTCATCGTCTTATGTTTGAGGCGAGCATAGAATGGGATCTTAGGTGAACTTCATTGTGTAAATTAACCCACCCCTCACATATACCCAACTCAATGTAACGTCTGTCGGGCTTAGTATTAACAGCGAGACCACAATTTATGGACGACCCAATCAAATTAAGGACAACAGGCCTTGAATTTGGGGGTGGGGAGAGTCAGCTCTCCTCGAAATGCCCTTACATGGCCACGCATATACAGCCACTGTCAGGGAAGTCCTGCTCACTGCCTTCTCGCACCAGGGGTGTTTACAAAATTAAGAAGATAAAAAGCGAATATCAGAGTTTTATTCGGGTTGGTGGTTGGTTGGAAAGCCCTGACTCCAAACCAGTGGTGCGTATGGGCTCCCTTAACCTGATGGAACAAATGGCATATGGACCAATTATTAGTCACCGGCTACCATGGGACTGCATCTCCTAATGTTGCTCCACTGCTTTGTGGATTAGGACTTTAGGTCGAAAGCTCCGAATGTGGCCCCTTAAGAAAAACCACCTTTGGTCTGGCCACCCAAGCAGTATCAAAAGCACACTCAAATCATGTGATTTGTGTGGCGCATATGTATCTGGTGTCCCTTTGTACCAATATTTCTGTGTTCAAATTGTCTGCGTGACTATCGTAACCAATGGTTGGAGACTAGGTGACATGGCTCAGAATCGATCCCTTAAACCTTGAGATTAAAATTGCTTCATATCCGTCCTCCTTCCTGTACTATATCCTTATATACAACCTTTCTTTTATATATTACCACCACTAAATTAACTACTATGAATTCGGTGTTCATCTTGTGCTAACGAGGTATGACAATTTGGGCCGATGCATATTTGTGCCCAGTCCTACGTTGTAGCTGACTGACTGACTACGTGTTCAAATAAGTTGGCGAAATATCTCGAACTTCCATAATAATCAGCTTTTCTAAGTCGATTACTTCTGGAATAGTTCCTAGTCCCTTATTCGCTTCATTCAACTGATTAGGACTTAGTAAGTGAAATACTTAAATTACACGTCATATAACTTGTACATAAAATCGTAATTTGCTATATAGCTTCCTACTTTTATCCTTTTCCTCTTTAAATATTCTTCTCATTATAAGTACACACATTAATCAGCTGGACTAGTTTTAAAGTTTATTTCTTTGAATTCCTGTCTTGAAATATTTTGAAAGTGTTCTAATCCTTAATCGTCCACAGTTTAGAGTGTAGAATTTTACCCATCTTTTTTAATTCACAGTGCTTTATACAGTAGATAAATGTTGACTTATTTCACATCTTTATCGTTTAATCTCAGTCCGTTCCTTAAACATTTTTCATAGATGTGGAAATATCAACTGGGCACGTCGAAGTACTTGCAACGTGTGCAACGGATCGAAGATCGACGTACAAGGAGAAAGAACAGGTTATGGTGGAGGGTTTATGGAGCGCGATGAGGTAGTTGAATACAGAGAACGCAGAGACTCAGATGATGAGTTTGATGAATTCGGTCGTAAAAAGAAAAGTTTCCGGAAAAATCAAAATGAACAACCCAGTAACCATGACCCGTCTAATTTTGGTAACAATTCTGTTACACGAGTTCGTGATAAAGATGATGAGGACGAAAATGGCAATAATAAAGGTGATGATAGTGAGGATGAAGATTCTGGCGATGATGCTGATCTCTCAAAGTATGATATTTGGGGAGCAGAAAACAACGACTCGGGTGATGAGTTATCAAATCAATTAGAACCTGCATCTCCACAAAAAGCTGCAAAAAACAAATCACGAAGTCATAGTCACTCATCTTCCTCGGATTCAGACTCTGATTCTTCTTCATCTTCTAGCCAGACCTCACACTCTGACTCATCATCAAGGTATTTTGAATTTAAAATATTTTATGTTTAAGGAAATCGATTTGTGTTCTCAGGTTGATTTATTTTAACCGATTAAGTTTCTGTCGTTTCATTGATTGGTATTTTTATTATGTATGAATCGCAGAATTTAAGACGTTTTTAAAGGCTGTTTGCTGATATCGTATAATATATATAGTCTCCATAAGGTAGTCTTAGATGTTAATAACCAAGTGGAAAAAACCGCAGGGTTTTAGTGACTTAGTTAACGGTTATTAAACAACTCATGTAAGTAAAAGTATTAACGGAAGCAACCGAAAAGCAGGTTACTTGCTCCATCTCAGTAGCTATGACATGTTATTAATTAATTCATCAAGGTTGAAAATGTATTTGGAATCCCAAGGTGTTCAGTATCCTTACAGGAGTAATAATCAACTAACCTACCATTAGGAGTAAAAAAACTGCTTCATTGATTTATTTAGATACATAAATTAGTCCATCAAAATACTGGCTATTCGTGTGGTTGATTGAGCTGTACTATTTAGATTTTAGCGTTAAAATCTATATGGTGAAGGCTCTTTACTCGAACACTACTAGTCGAGTCAGAGCTTATAGTGAACTGTCATCTGATTTTGCAACCGAAGGTGGTGTCCGTCAAGGCTGTCCACTATCTCCATTTTTGTTCAACTTCATCATAGACCTACTGCTGGAAATAACGCTCTCGTCATCTGAATTTTCGGGAATTGACCTACCAGGAGGTCCACTTTGGAAAGTGCAAAGCACATGCCATACCTACGGGCATTAATTACCAACTGATTAAGTGCGATTTGTATAGTTTGACTCATCTCACAGTAAGACAATATCATCGTCATACTAAAGTCGAAAAGTCTTTCCCTAGGTAATGAGTTCGCACCATCATTATCTACTTCCATCAGAGATATTTCCAGAACGTAGCCGATAGCAAAGTTGAAGAGAAATTGCAAGATTAGAGAAACCTGCCTAACCCCACTGCTTGAGTGGATCAGTGGTGAGGTGGTTGTATACCATCATTTTGCCTGAGGTATTTGTATACAAAGCCTTCAAGATGTTAACACACTTTATGTACACCCTTCTTCAACAGACATTTTGATAGAATAGTTCAACAAATCGAAGAAGTCATTAATCTATAGTGGTTAGAGATTGCTAATACAAATGGCGTAACGCTAGGGAACTAGCTCAGCTAATACCAACCAATCTTCAAGTATTGTAAGTGAATATTTGGGTTTTCTGAGCTAGATAATTTGCGTAAAACGCCTAAAGTTACTCTGAACGACGCCAATATCAAACTCAAATATGTAAATTTTAAGTTTGTCCTCCATGACTTTTGCTGATATGTGCACTTACATTGTTAGCGACTGTTTTGCTTAGTATCATTAGTTGACCTCTCCTCCATAATTTGATAGATTGATTCCATATTGATATGTCTGTTTATTGTTTCTTCATTTTGTGGTTTACATATATTTCCAGTTGAATTCATACTGATATCTTTCCACGCCCATTGGTATATATGTTATGTAGCTATTAATCAATATGTCTGTTATATTATTTACTTATCCAATTATTGATGATATTTTTTCTTATTTGTTAAAATTTTTCGCCTAAATAACGCTAACTTTGTATGAACCACTTTTATTTTACATAATGTAGTAATTGAATTATCTTAGTTGAAATCATGAGTCAATTGAAGCTAGATCACCATGGAAAACCTGGAAACACTGGACGGCCGTTTCGTCCTATTATGAGATCGTGGATGCGCACTGCTGAGTCTAGCTTCAATTGACTCACGCTTTCAACTATGAAAATACTGAATCTCCACAAAACCCCTTCTGATAATTGAATTATCTTTTTATTGATATTAAGATATGCTTCAATGTTCTGTTGTTCTTTTATGTAAAAATAATGCGTTCTGTGACTCTAGTGTGTAATTTCATAATAGTAGTCTACCAATAGAGTGCATTTGTACAAATATTTATTTTCGTGGAATAATCAGTAAATGTTTTTTTTTTTAATTTCATGTTAGGTGAAGGTACTGAAGTTAGTTAGTTTGTTTGATTAAGATTCATATATGGTTTGTGTTTAGCGTTAAATTGATACTGTGTTTGTTGACTTTTTGAACAAATCTACTTTTGTTTAGTCATCAACAAGCTTGATAATGATATAAAAACTCTATTCTATCACATCATATCATAATCATCCGGCTAAATTTTACCCTGTTGTCTCATAATTTTGTGCCCTACGCTTAATTTATGATTTATTATCTCTTATGTAATTATTATAATATTAAATTTTCAATCGTGTTGTACTCAAAATGTCTCATACCTTGCTTATTATAATTTCAGTTCCCACAGTGAAGCATCTTCCAAACCCGAAAGTCAATCGAATAGCAAAAGATCTCATCCTAACAACGGAAATGCAGACAATGATAGTGACAGCTCAACTCATGTAAACCACAAACGAAAAAAACAATAATGGACAACAGCAATACGATCGGTTGGTGTTCGGTACAGAGAGCAGTGCCAATCTCTAATATAATCTCGACGCTCCGTGTCGCTTAATATGATAGTATATATATATATATATATATATATATATATATATATACGCACTACATTTTGCATAGTAGTTACTTCGTTAGCGATCTTTTTTAAATTAATTTGTCTTAAACAAATCTGTAAGCTCCAATCTAGGTATAATCAATATGGGTTTATGAAAATTTCATAAAAAATAGTATATAAACTATTATTGAAGTGTTTATCGATATAAAACTAAATATAGTCAACAATAAAATCATCGGAAAAGCGGTCACTTTTCCACTTTGGAAGCACCAATCAAAAGCTTATTATTTACTACTTATACTTGAACCCCAACCCTCCCAAAAAGTTGAGTAGTAATAGACTTCACAATCTGTTAACAAGTTGTTGTATTCTTGGTAAATCCTGACTCTATGTAAACCTGTTAGGTTAGACTTCATAATCACTAACAATTTATCTAAATATTAAGTTGGAGAAATTCAATTTCAACCTTATATAACTCTTTTGGTATTGTGCAGCCAATGACATCAAAAGTTTAGTTTCATATAATATCAACACTAATCTTCATATGTCCATCACTCATAGAATTTCTAAATTGTTGAGTGTACAAATATTGTTTTCTTTTTTGATAAAAAAACATAATGGAGCTGTAGTTTAGTATAGTTTGAACAACAGACTTTCAGTCAATGGATCTCATATCCAAACCTCATTTTATCTACTTTAATTTGGCTAGCTTGAAATCTAATTATCTGTAAACTTCTAAGTAGTGAAGTTCATCTACTTAAATACTGGGGTCAGATCAACTACAGTTTAAGTGGGTTTTTTTAGTTCGTTTAAATCCAGTTACTGTATCTATATTACACTAAATAACTGTTCTTATTAATTCTCATAAAAATTAACAGTTTATTCCAGTCGTTCACGTTTAAATAACAACCAAACTATATTTGTACCCTGTCACATTGACTGTTACAACAGTCAGAAGTGGAAAATCACTTAGTGATCTTGCTATTCATGTTCGACCAATCATTCGTTATCTGTAGAGTAACCTATTCATACTACTTTAGTTGGATATCTTATACAAATAATCTCAACTTTCGAACATTTATTTACTTAGTCATTACTAGTTGGTCAGTAGTTCTATCTATATCCTAATTAGCTTGAAAATGGTAATCAGTCTTGTTCAACAACCTCACTCATATCAGTATGAAAACTAGTGCTAACATAAATTTGTACCGGTCTCTACTTTCATTATGGCTGACTGATCAATCTTTATTAAATCATTCTGATTTCCATAAAATTGACCTTTATATTTATTCTCATTGTTTATATTATTATCATATTTACTGTAATCGTTTATCCATTTATTCGACTATCAGATATACACAATATTCAATATAAAACTTCTTTAAATTAAAACCTCACGTAAAAGAATACTGTTGATTCCATGATCACTGTGGTGCGTCCTGTGCCATCTGGAACGTTGACAATATCTTTTCTGGTTCTCAGAACCGGAAAAGATACTGTTGATTCCATTTCGTTGTTTGTCTAGCACAACAGTAAGATAGCTCTAAATATATTAAGAAGTCAATTTATATTGCAACAATTTTGTAGCATATCATGATGAAAAAAGTGATTTGAATTAGATTAGTAAAGAGATATGAGGTAAGATGTAGTTAATTATGAAGAACTATGAGCTAAACACAGTGTAGTTATACAACTATACAAAACAATTTCAAGTTACATTTTCAGCTACTAATCACATTTAAGGTCAATGATCATCTTACTAAAAAGTATGGATAAGTTCAATTCATTCGCTGACCTACATGTTTCTTCTCATCAACCTAATGTCAGTCACTACTTAGACATATGTAATATGAATCAACCATGTAAATCACTACAGGTCTACAACTTAATAAGCAACACCGCATACTATGTATCGAAAATTCAGTTAAGTGACTACATCGTTCATTGTTTCCTTGCATAATATCGCTTTAGTGATCCTTTAGACAGTGGTAAACCAGCTATGTGCCATACTCCTATGATATGTTCTTTTAATGAACAGGGAAACTTCTTGTTGGACAGTGTCTATCGTTGATCTCTACCAAATCTTTCCCCAATCACTAGCATCCATGTGCAATAGTGAATTGTTGGAGTAAGTTGCTTGATTACTTTGTTTTCTAATATCAAACAGGGTATGAGCATCCTAACAACTGGAAGGTCATCTACTATGGTGATTTTCTAACTCCTATTAATTAATAGATCTTATATTTAATTTACAAGTACCTTGTCTTTTGATTTAGATAATTATTTTATACGACTTAATGAAAGTACTCCCTTATTTCCATCACTACAATGAATTTTACTAATTATGAAATTTCATTTTATGAATAACCGAATAATTGATTTTTCATTTATCATAGTTCTTTTAAGATGATTGACGTCTGATTATTTATCCCTATTTTTTCTTCATTGCTCCGAATTCATATATCATTGTGTTCATCCTGGGGAAATGCGATCATCACGCCTCATTTTTTCATAACCTATTCTGTTGGTATTCAACTTTAAAAACATTAACCTATCAGGCTACTCCTGTAAAACAACACTTATTCAGGACAGTACTTTTTTCTATCTCCTTTTCCTACGAAATAATGAAATTGCAATATAAAGATGTCATTGTACATTGTTCATTCTTTTATATGTAATCTTCAATGTCATCTTCACCTTTTTGCAATTCTATCCCCGTTTTTGTATATGTGTATGCAGTTATGTCATTAGGATTTATTTCCTGTCTTTCTCTTAAAATAATGATTATTTTTAAAGGATCTTAATATAATTCTCCTGTTGTCTTGTTATCATAACTATTCGTAACATTAGTTAATTTGCATCCATTCTACTTACGTGTATATGTACAGTGTTCATATTGTGCTTACTAAATATATAACATCTTTTATTGATTTCAGTATTGTTCGTATTACTCCTATGGAATTCCGCTGTTTTTTATTAAATCTCAGTGATTTATTTGAGAAGTTATCATCAATTTACTAGATAGTTTACTTAACTGGCGTTAAATATCACAACTTTATTTTGCCTTATGAGCTGTAGTTACTTGATTGTATATCTTAGTGTGATTTGACTGTTTATTTGGTCAGATAAGTACTTTCTGAAATAACTTAATTGTCGTACTTCGGCACCAAGAATCTACATAAGTCAATAGTTTTCACACTCATATTCGTAGTTTAGGCGTATCCTCTGATTGAAGTTGTGATTTATCAGTCTACCTCATCAATAATGAAATTTCGCGGATTCGTGTAAGATTGCGTTTTTCCTGATAGAAGTAGTGCTTTGTTTTTTTCCATTTTTCAAACTTGTATAGTGTCAATTTTGTTAAATACATCAGTTCCAGGTTCTGGGTCTGAATCTCGCGAGGCTGGATCGTGGATGCGCACTGCTGAGGAGTTCCACAATAGGACGAAACGGCCTTCCAGGTTTTCCATAGTGGTCTAACTTCAATTGACTCATGACCTCAACTATATAAACTTCCATTAGTGTTTGACAGCTATGTCCGCAGTATTTTTTTAAGCCTATGACCACGAAAGTTCACCAAATGTTAGCTATTTTAGTAAACACTTTCTCATTAGACTATCAGTATTTATTTATTGTAGAATTACTAAGCCCTTGTACGACAAGTGTGTTTCACATTGCTTTTACTCAATAGTGAACTTTGTACACATAATATTACATGGAATAACTAAGAGTGTGAATTTAATTTCAACTTATCAACTACATTTTTAACCGCTGGTACGAGAGAAAATGTTTGTTTCACTCGATAACATATTCATATCTCCATGTCAATCGGTTCCGTACATCAGTTGAAAGAAAACCAGTATGGAAATCCATAAGTTATTAGTCTGAATTTTATAAACAGTCCAATTTTCATCGAATTTTATACATCCGTACATATAACTATTATCTAACGTGAAATGAAATTATATTGTTTGTCTCGTGTTTCCTCATATCTATATGTAAACTGCTATGAATATTAGTCTGACGCTTAACTTATATTTTCTGGCGGCCTCACTTTTCTTCGAGGATGAATTCCCTGTACCTATGATAGGTTTGACCGTTGAAACCTAGTACAGCTTCACAAGAATGGTGAAGTGAAATTTCTATTGAATATGGTAGAGAATAAATATCGGATGGTTAAAAATGTTTAATTAATCCTCATAACGAGTAGGCTACTAAAAAGCTACTGATTCAAGTTGAGGTGTACATAAATTCTGTGTTAGAGTGACTGCAGGCCATACTGTTAAATAAACTGAAACTTTGTAAAGAAGTCAGCGCAATCAATTAACTCACACTACTTCAAACCTCAAAAAAACAATAACAGTAAATATTTTCAGAAATAAATGTTTTATGTTGTTAGATACGGACGAATAAATGGAAAAGCCCAAACTTTAAGAACTACTTCACAGTGGATTGTTATATTCTTTTTGTGACATCACTATGCTCCTTTTATTCGACTTAGTTGTTACGACTAACAATTAGTAATTTATCATTTACTCAATTTTGTACTTCAAATGGCCTAGTTATTTATGGATTACAATTTCTTATTTCTGTTGCATTGTTCTCTTGTTCCTAACATGTTATCATGAGATTTTTCGTCATGATAAAATGTAAGTCGGCTTACTATTCTCATATTCTGATTGTGTAGGTCGAGCGCCAAAAGAACTTTCGTAGGCCAATTGGCTTCATCACACTTATTGGAGACAAAAGCAAATTCATCGTTAGTGAAATCAGTAATTTAGTGATTCTATAAAGTAAACATATTTAGCAGGCACATAGAAGTTGAATTCATGACAGTTTTATTTTTCTCCAAGACGATTTCAGACTTAAGACCGAATGCCTCGTAACTGTGAATACATATTTACTAAAATGAATAAGTCTCCAGGGTTCTGACTTTGAATATTTTGATAATCCATTTAATTAAAACTTAGTGAGTTTAGGAAAAAGTAGAATTCTCATACATACACACTACATTGTGGTCTCATAGTTATTAATACAGACAAAATATTTTGATTATGTATTTATGAAATTGGTGGAAACCTTTGTCTCTCAGAGAGTATAACAATTGAGTAGACCGTTAACAAAGTGATATTGTCAAATCCAAGTTCCATAATGAATTGGTTGATTTCTCAACTGGGTCATAGCTCGATTTCATTTGCACAAGAATCTGGTTTTGGGGTGTTCATACCCTAATCGGTCAGTTATTTACCTAGATATGTATTCAAACAGTTTTATCTCCTAAATGCAAATGAACCACGACGAAAATTGTAGGAACAGCTAAGCCAATCAGAAAATCGATGTTAATTAGTAGTCTGTTCAATCAATCTCAGTGGATTCAGTGCTCTCAATAATTCAGTTGTTTCGATAAGATTATGCAATATATGTTGCTTCATTAACTGCATCTGGAATTTACTGAATACAACCAGTTGCATGCCACTAAAGCATTTATTGTATAACTCGAACTACGATATATCTGTAGGTTGTTTTCAGTGTGCTAACCTATCCTTGAGGATGAACCTGCATGGTGTGTAAGAATTATAGAGTAATATAGTTGTATATTCAGTAAATTATCTTAGAGTTAAACTTCCTGAATTCGTAGTAAGACGCCTTATTCAACATAGTAATATCACTTGATTTCAGTGCTTTTGAACAGGGACTTCTTTCTATACTGGAACTTTATTATATCCTGAACCAATAAAATCCCTGTTATAAACGTATAACAATCGTTATTGTATATGAAACGTGCAATGATACAGAAAATACGTACGAGCAGTCTTGATTGCTATTCGGTCCTTCCTAACTGCCTAGCCCAGCCAGTTGAGTCCAGAACACAAATAACAGCCTCGGAAATATGAATCATTATTCACAAGCACACTGGGTTATATATACTAACCAAACAGACCCAATTATACCAAAAAATAGAAAAATAACATTTGTACAGTAATTGGCCAATGTGGCTATGGATAGGGGGAAAGTAATCAATAATAATAGTTCAAAGGTCAAAATAAGGTTACGGTAAGAGGAACACGAATACAGTTAGGTCACTTATTTAACAACTATACAATAGGAATTAGGCATATTACCTTTGTCCATAATAGACCTCAGATTTACCATTCATGATTCACCAGGGGATATAACACCTCCCCTTTTTGAGAAATCCGGAGTTGATATCCGGATTTTAAATTTCTCGAATCCACCCTCCCCCACGAAAGACTGTTGGATCCTCATATAGCCAAGCTACTATTAATGCGATATGTTTGTCACATTTAACAGGGAATGCATTAGAACTGACAAGATCATGAGGATCGATGACATTTGATTCGAGGTCACCAACATTTGATTCTTCTGAAATAGTTTCCTTGAATTCCCTCGGAACCTCATTAGTAGATAATGAATCATTAGGATAATCAGTATCTATGAGAGTTGTATTGGATTCTTGATTATCATTTAATACATTCGATATTTTTCTCACATTTTTATAAGAGATTTGAACAGGAACATATGAATCAGCGAAATAATCGGGATCTGGCAGAACAATTAGATAATTTTGATCATTAGATTCATTAGAAAAATTTTTCGTATCATGAATAATTTCATTTGGCGCCTCTGTATTCAATATACTGCTCGATTTGCTTCCCATTTCTTCGTGGGCGGGTACTGCATCAATTTCATGAGCATTTGACATGGCATCATGTTGCTGAGAGCTGGGAGCATCACTGTTCGGACCTGCTAATTCAGGGATAGTGGTGTTTGAATCCACTACCGGGAACGTTTCTGAAATGGATAGTGCTGGACAACCGGGCGTCTCTTGAGAGACTGCTGTTTCGTTTGAGTTGCGGCTGGTCGAGGATTCATGGAGGCTGTGATCATTTTCCAGTTCTGCGTGAAATTCATTGATTAATCCATCCACTTCCGACGCGTATGCAAAGCATTGGTGATCCAGAAGCTGTGTGCGTAGTTTGACCATGAACTCCAAATGTCGGTCAAATAGCAACTGTAAGCGGTCAGAAGGGAGCGTCATTTTTCACTTTTGTCCCCGTCGCCAATTGTTATAAACGTATAACAATCGTTATTGTATATGAAACGTGCAATGATACAGAAAATACGTACGAGCAGTCTTGATTGCTATTCGGTCCTTCCTAACTGCCTAGCCCAGCCAGTTGAGTCCAGAACACAAATAACAGCCTCGGAAATATGAATCATTATTCACAAGCACACTGGGTTATATATACTAACCAAACAGACCCAATTATACCAAAAAATAGAAAAATAATATTTGTTCAATAATTGGCCAATGTGGCTATGGATAGGGGGAAAGTAATCAATAATAATAGTTCAAAGGTCAAAATAAGGTTACGGTAAGAGGAACACGAATACAGTTAGGTCACTTATTTAACAACTATACAATAGGAATTAGGCATATTACCTTTGTCCATAATAGACCTCAGATTTACCATTCATGATTCACCAGGGGATATAACAATCCCAGAAGGAATATTGATCAAGTGCAGTTAGTTTAATCATAGTTAACATTTGTCAGTGGAGCCAACTCAACTCATCTGACAATGATTGCCCTATAGTACTCTGAAAAATTTAGGTGCACCTATAAAGTACCAAATGCTCTACAATGGCTCCACAATTAGATTCAAATTTCATCATAGATTGTTTTAATTTAAAATTAATAACTGCTTAATATAAATTCATGAGTGTAACGACCATTCTGACAACATCTAATGAGAAGTCTATGAAGAAGACATCTAATCAATAATCTTGTTTTTCTGGTTAATATATAAGTTAGCTCGAGACTGGTAGTTCCTGGGTTCAAATCTTGCGAGAGCGGGTTCGTGGATGCGCACTGCTGAGGAGTCCCATAATAGGACGAAACGGCCGTCCAGTGCTTCCAGGTTTTCGATGGTGGTCTAGCTTCAATTGACTCATGATTTGAACTTTGAAAAATACTGAAATCTCCACAAATCCCCTTCTGAATATAAGTTAGCATTTGAAACATCGTTTTCAAAAAATATAACTCACTGTTTCGTTTGAATGTATCATAAATGCTGATATTCAGAAACTGAATTTTTGTAATTTCAAGGTATTTAAGACTTAAATTAGGATACTTTTTGTCAACTGACTATCACTTTTTAAAAGAAATGATGACTTCACTTTATGGAGAACTTAACTTTTACCATATTGTTTCTACACAATTCAAATTCGATAACTTTCCCATCGATTTACAAAATATCAGTTATTCTGGTGTCATTATTACTCATTTAATGCCCGTTATTGTTTATGACTGTCGTTTTAATTAAAAACTTGTGGCTATGTCTGTAACCTCACAAGTTTTATTTATTTATTTAAACACATAAATATTGGTAGAAAGGGGCACCAGCTACATATATGCCACACAAGTCTCATTTGATTTGCTTGAGGGCTGTGATACTGCAAGTGATTTTCTTAGGGGGCCACACCCGGAGCCTTCGACCTGAAGATCTGATCCACAAGGCAGTGGAGCATCCTGGGGAGATACAGTACCATGGTAGCCGGTCACCAACGATTGATTCATACGCCATTTGTTCCCTCAGGATACTGGAACCCATGTGCACAACTGGTTTGGAATCAGGGTTTTCCAACTCCCCTAGGTGGATTCACTGTGTCAACTGGCCCGATTAAAGCGCCGGACATTCGCTTTTCGTCCTCTCAATTTCGTAAACAGTAATGCCACGAGAAGGCGGTGAGTAGGGCTTCCCTGACAGAGGCTATATACGCGTGGCCATGTGAGAGCATTCGGAGAGGGAGAGCGGACTCTCTCCACTCTCGACCAGGAAGCAATAGACCACCGTTTCATCTTTTTATGGGACTCCTCAGCAGTTCGCATCCACGATCCTGCCTCGTGAGATTCGAACCCAGGACTTATCAGTCTCGCGCGCGAGCACTTAACCGATAGACCACTAGTTTATAAGTCCATGTTTTTTTTAACTTTGAACCCCATGTCTTTTGATTGTGACAAGATACCTATTAGTTTATTGACTTTCATTAGTAGAATCTAATTATTGCTAACCGATAAAATAATTAACATTCATTGAAGATTTCTGTGTCCAAGTAATGGGGATAAAATGAAGGTTTTAGTAAATTTTACTCTCGTTTTACTCATTTGTGTGGTCTATTTAATGGATAAGCGGACTGTTATACTGTACTATCCTTGAGGTGTATTGTGGAAATTGGAGAAAAACTAGAAAATTTGTGAAATTGTGAGGATTATTTATGGAGACACCTTTTTTCAAATAGAGATCAACTACTGCAACCTAGAAAGTATTCCATATTTTCTGATCGCAGATCCACTGTTTGGACAATTATTGATGAATTGAATATTGGTAAAGTGTTTATGCACCCGATTCTACCAAACATGAAACGATGACATAAAGAAAACAGAGATAGAACAAATGTGTTGTCATATATAGGGAGTATTTTGAAAGTAATAAAATTAATATATTGTCGGTTCATATAATTGTTGGACAAACTATAGATTCTTTTAGAAAAGTTTGTAAACTACAGAAATTAGGATTAACTGTATAACCAGTAGTTTTCACATTAGCTGTCTACACAATAACATTCATTTGTAATTTTTATTCAATCAACAGATCAAACGTCGACAGCAGTTAACAGTCCTTCATTATTGATTTTGATTATTATCAAAAAACCCATCCACTATTTTTATGAGTTTTTGTAAGGTTCAATAGTCTTTTCTTCATATTGTTCATTAAGTTGTGCTCTTCATCTAGTATCATTGAAGCGGTTTCATCCTGGTATGAGACTCATTCAGTCTCGCGCAAACGCTTCACCTCTAGACCACTAAGCCGGCATCCAACAGTGTTAATGTCTAACTTCAATCGATCCATGATATTGTGGGACTCTTCATCTATTGTCTGAGATAGATACCTGTCTCTATCCCACATAGATTGAACTATATTGATCACGGCGTCTGGTTTAGCTTAAATCGGCTTATGAATTCAATTATTAAATTTACTACAATATGTGTTGAATTTTGAGAAAGATCAGTTAAAATTCAATTAAAAAGTCAAATACTATTTATATTGTTCAGTAGTATGACTCAACTTTCAATCAGAATTCGGTGTAGGCGAGAGATTTCAGTAAATAGTTACCTTGTCACCTAGTATATTACATGAATAAACATTTGGAACGTGCAGAAACTTTGTATTTCCATAATTTTTCCTCCAGCATAGGCTTATGAGTTGTTTTCCTACTTTAAATTTTGTTCAATTACTTACTATTTAAGAAAAAGAAGATCAATCAGAATTACTTGAAACAATAATCATCGATATATATGACTGAATTAAGATTTACGATACAATAAGTCAATGTTAACAGCACCGTACTATATATACATAACTGAAGGTGTTTGTCGATTATCTGTTGCAAGAACATTGACATCAAAATTATTTTTGGCGAACTCATTATAAAATGTCAGCAACTTTTGAAAACGTCAAATCATTCGTCCTGTCTGTTCAGAATCGATTATAATCGAAAGAAAATTGTTATATCCTAACGAAGAATAAGTGAATGATAGCTGATAGGAATTATTATATGTATTCTTATTGGGTGATTATTAAGTATATATATTCCTTTCATTTGACTTATTGGCTATTGCGATCCAATTTACCATTTTTAACTTATTCCCAATTTTCAGAAGGGGTTTTGTGGAGCTTTAAGTAATTTTATGGAGGTGAGATCGTGAGTCAATTGAAGCTAGACCACTATGGAAAACCTGGAAGCACTGGACAGCCGTTTCGTCCTATTGTGTGACGCCTCAGCAGTGCGCATCCGCGATCCTGCCTCACGAGATTCGAACCCAGGACCTACCAGTCTCGCGCCCGATTTATTAGTTACAATATCCCACACTCACAGCCAATGTTGGCTTGATCTTGTATAATTGTTATTTTCAGTTTTATGGTGCTTTGCTATATAAACTGTGTATGTCTGAAATACATGATTCATACAGTAGAGCCTGAGATTGTGTTCTGGGCTCAATGGGCAGGGTTAGGCGAGAGGAACTATAAAGGACTCAGAGTTAACTCCGGGCTGCTATTGCTGGTTAACGCATTACTGATATAGCATAGGGACAAGACCATATAAGTCAGCTTTCTGGTTGGCGATTTGTCACATGATAATTGATGGCTATAGGAAATAACAAATTCAAGTCATTAAAACTTATGGATTAGGTTATTCTCTCCTTAGTAATGCTGAGATTTCCGTTTTGTTTACGTAAAGTATGAAAGTGTGAAAACGGAAAACTAAGACTTTTACGGTTGGATTGTGATACTGTATTGAATACTAGATTATCAATATGTGACTTGGTAATAGATCATTATATCGATAGAAATAAACATTAGATTAGTAGACCCAATAAGACACGATACTTAGTTCCGTGATAAACTTGAATCAATTAACCGACAACCGATCAGGATCCAAATCTTATCCAGAACGACAGCTTATTACGATACAAACTGAAAGCGGTTAACAAGTGGTAATCAGTTTTACACAAAAGATACTCTTATATATTTAGTGTGATCAGGTATTTCTATCTTTGCTCACTGACCATTGACAGTTTGGTTTGACTGATATATCAAAATTTAACACTTAGTCCAAGAACAAGAAGGTATTATGACTCTTTTTCAACTCTGTCTTAATGAAGTAGTTGTGCAGTATCAATCAACCTTAAAATTCCTCAGTATTAAACAATAATCCATTAACATAAAATATGAGATTATCTGAGTTGACTAATCATTTGTTTGCACATCACAAATTGTGATTAAAACTTTAAACCAAAAAAGAAAGTCTGAACAATTTAAATTTTATTAAAAATCAAAAATAAGATTAAACTGACTATTCAGTCGTCAATATACTTTATTTATTTTAAACAAATATATTCGATGGATTAGATGAAAGCGAAAAGTAAATGTTACTGAAAATAGTACATTTAGAAGTAAATTGTTCTAAAGTTTAACTGAGTGAGAGGAGATCAGTTAGAGGAAAATCAAAATCAACATATGATTGCATTTGTAACTTTTTAACCTATTAGTGTCACTTAACAAAGTATTCAGCCAACTTATTGTTATTAAATTATCTATTATAATAACGTTTACATAGATCAACTTACTTCTTAACAGAAATGTATTCATCAATATTCTCTACGGTATATGTACTGCTATAAAATAGTCATTTTAGGAATGTATAAAACATAGTCTTCTATATCAGTGATTAAGAAGCTCAAAGTTAATTTATTACTTATTCAATACATAAAACTATGTTGATAAAGATAGATCTGATTTTTTTTGGATCCATTTAACTTTTCGTTTGATGCTAAATTTTGATTGGTTTTCGGAGAACTAAACGACTAGTTGATAATGATTGGTTAATACTTCATAATGTTTCTTTCAAATTGACCAATCAGCAGTCAGTGTTAAATAGATATTCACCCAATCACTGAATAAGAATAAAGAATTCATACATTTTTTTGTGTTTACAAAATAATGTTTTTGATCTGTAGATTATCATTGTTTGAGTACTTAAGGTAATAGGAAATTCTGATAAGATAAAATAGTAAATTATAGTGAAGGATAATCCAAGTTAACTCTAAAAGAATAAACATTACACTTCCGTAAGTATTCAAAAAAGAATTCATAGAAGTAAGAATACAATTCGAAGATTATATTTTTCAGTCATCGTTATCACTATATTGAATAGTAACCAAATTTGTTTTATGAACTGGAGAAACAACATGATTAGGATGTTTAAATTTATTCATTTGAGTTTGATCTGATTCATTACTTTGTGATGAATAAGCTCCCAATTTACTTGAATTTGATAATCCAGAAATAGGAATGTTGTTCGGATTAGTAGATAGTTTACTATTATTCTCATTCCATTTAGATACATAAATGATTCGAGGACTTTGTGGATTTGCTGTATGATTGTTCTTAGTATTAGTACTATTATCATTATTACCAATCTGTTTTTGTGGCTGGTCAACTGACACTGTTTTCCAACCAGTTTTATTAGTATCAACCACCCGACTGTGATAAGAGTTAGAACTTTGTACAGTTTTTGAATAACCTGTGTACAATAGTTTACTTTGTTCATTTATATGGATGACGGATGTGTCTAATGATGATTTTCTTGATGAGTCAACTAATGTTTCAGTACTGCCAGTTGGAGTGCGTTCTGAATTGGATGAACGATATTGTGTCGAGTTTTTCTTGTTGAAATCAATACCATTAGAGTTGCATTTTGAAATAACTTTCAATTGATTAAGGCGATACATGAATTCGGACTGATGAACGTCAGATTTATGACGATCAATCTGCAGTTAAAAAGTTCGTTTAGAAAACATCGGAAAACTATGTTTTTTGGAAAGTGTTTTTAAGTTTATCGTTACTAGGAAATAGTAAAACTAAAAATTTGTCACCCTTGAGGATGGATCATCAAGTAAACGCGTGTGAATTAAAATCACAATCAATAAACATAGAGTCAAGTGAATATACTTATGAGAAATAGTAAGTTAAATTTATTACCTCAGTATTCATACATAAGTTTGAAAAGCCATAAACACATACTGGCGCCCTCTCTTCTAACCTGGTAATACCTATAAATTAGTCAGCTAAGAGAGTTTCATTGACAAGCATCTGATAGTAGATTCTCCATCTTCAACTGTGATACCTTAATAACCTGTTTATAGTATGAATAGTTCAAAAGCATTGGAAGTCTATTTCTTGATATTATTTAGATCCACTTCAATATCAGGATAAAACATCTGTCCGATGCTCACTGGCTTTCAATAACTGTTAAATTAATATCAATCCGTGCTGTGAGATGAGTCACGACGAACCTTCCATACTAAGAATACAATTTCATCAGGTGATATTAGTCTGGAAAGCACTGAAAACCAAGTGATATCTCAATGGTCAAGTTATTTTTATTTAGAATCTCTTCGGAGTACACTCCTTAAAAAAGTACTTGGGACTTCATTCCCAGTAGATTTACTGGTGATTTCTATTAATTTTTAATCTTAAACTTTCTTTCTTTAAAGCTATAAATAATAAATAATTAAACGATAGTCGTTTGCTCAAATGATGAGGAGTTACTCATTTACATACAACGATAACATTTGACAAAAGAACTATACTACTTTAAAAACATTAAATAGTATGTCCACAATAAATTAAATTACTTACCTTGATAATTGTCCCTTTTCTTTCATTTAGAGTATTTCTTGAATGATTTAATTCATTTTTTCGAATATTTTTATAGAAGCAATTATCGTCATAATTTTGTATAGTAAATATATCATGTACATCACTTGAATATGAATCATTTGATGACAGTTTCAATGTATCTAAACGTGGTAATTCTTCATAGACATCATGTTCATTGTATTGTCTATGGATTTCTCGGTGTTCATCATTACTATTATTATTATAATTATCATCATCATCATCATCATCGTTATTATTATTATTACCATCATCGATGCTATCCAATTCTTGATCTAATATCAGTGTAAGATTGCCTCTTTTCGGATCTTTATGTTTTCTACCAAATGCGTTCAAATAGGATAACCGTTTTATGGCAGGTTTAAATTTATGCATTTTAAAATTATGATGTTGGTGATGATTTTGGCGATTATTCATTGATGAACACGAAAGTGGACTACAACTGACCAGCTCAATACCTGGATCATCAAAATTCTTCTTACGTATTAACGGTGATGGTTCATAATTAGCTGGATAAGAGGCTAATGATGATGATGACGATGGACTGATAGTTCGAGGAAATGATGGTGATCTACGGCTAAATGTGGAGTAATTACTTGGTTCAGAATCAAAATCTAAGACTCTTGATGTGCGATATCGATCCGGTGCTGCAACTTGGTCAAGAAACAAAACGCTCCTATGACCACGACCCAAATGATTCTCATTTTCACTATCTGATTGGTCACTACCATTTAAATGTGACGATCGATTTGTTGGTTGAAACCTGCGCCTGATTTCTGAAGGTGAAGATCGCAGATTAACCAAAGACACACTAGTTGCAATATCTGAATCAAAAGTTTTATCGTCTAACGAATTCAGATTGGGATTAACACGAGAACTTGATCGAAGAATTGACTTTTTTGGTGTATGAATCCCAAAATTCTGTTAATTCGAAAAATAAATTACAGAAATCAAGTTTAGAAAATTCAATAAAGATGATTCTGAGAAAACCCTTTTATGACTAAGATGGTTTAACTGTTATTCGTGCTCAGAAACGATTCCAAAATCCCATGTGAATGGACTCAAGTGGACGTAGCCATTAACTAATTCAAAGAATACACGAGAACATACATGCTCTTTTTAGTAAATAACTGAGATCCATGGTGTTTTTCATTATTAATTTCATACAGCAGGAGAAAATGTATGCTACATGCATGAAAAAGAATTATTTAATCCCGACGAGTGACTGTTACATCACGACAATGCATCTGAACATTTGGAAATGATTGTCAACAGGTTTCTGGGTCGTAGTCCATTCAACATCACCCGACCTTACTCATCAGGACCAACAGACTTTAGATTGTGTTTTTTGCCATATATTAAACAACATCATTGCAACAATATAAAGATGAAAAAATGTGAGATGAATAGGCAGTTGATAATACTGATATTTAAGGATCCCCAGTATTACCTTTCAGAATTAAAACAGATGTAACGAGTATATTACTAGAAATTATCAGTGTTTTGAAGGGAATAAGACTGACGTCCGTCTACAAATCATAAAGTTTTAATTTGTAGCTAACTTCAGACTTAATCTTGATCATCGAACTGGAATGATGAATACTTTATTTGACTTTTTCACAATGTTGGAATCCATCACTGTGTGGAGTCGAATAGCCGAATGTTCGCACGCCATTTTCTACATACTTCAATTAATTCTCCCTGAATATTTCCAGTTTCATCTGCGTGGATGCAACTTAGGTACTGAACACAGTGGGATATAATGTAAATCACGTAAATATATTTCAACAAACAAATTTTATTCTCAAAGTACGTACATACGCACAGATTTAAATATTTAATAATTACAATCATCGGGCAAAGCAAAAGTCATGAAGCTGTACAATAACTTGGAACTTGGTCAAAAATCCCAAATGAAAACTAAGCAGATGATAGCGTGATAAAACAAATTTGAACTTCACTGATAAATGTTTCTCACTAAACTCCAAGAATGACCTCACAACAAGTCTAAAATCCTCAGTCTGGGTTACAAATATTCATCGTCAACTTAGAATTCGGGTTCAAATGAGAACGAATCTAATTGAAATGAAAAGATATTAACGATTCGCAACATGGTGGATTAATACATTCGGAGGGTTTTTTCTGTACACCTACTTACTAAATTATCAATGTCCACTTTAGGAGTTCTTGTAATCCGAAGAATCGGAAAAAATATATTGTCTTCAATCAGAATCTCTTCATCATAGGTATATATGATGAATCAAATAAGCTTGTTATAATCCATTAGGAAGTGATAACACTGTATTTCACTACCCTAAGTCATAAGGGCTCGTTTCTCTATCTTCGTTTACATCTGATATAAATTGTGAAATTCAATAAGCTCCACCAATTTCCTATACTCGTAATAATAATATGCTCACTTGTGACTAAATTGGAGAAATCATTCATGGAGTTTTGTAAGAATTCATTACTTGTGGAGTTCAATCATGTTGGATGAGAGGCAGTCTTTACCCAATAATAACTGTGATAGTTGGCTGTGTGATGTAAACCAGTGAAGCTCAGCTCGATGGTCTAGAGTTTAAAAGCTCGCCAAGAAGTTTGAAGGCACGAAGTTAGATCCTCCAAGGGCTCGTGGTCACTGCTGAAGAGTTCTGTACCAGGACGAAGCATCTATCAAGTACTTCCTGGTTCCCAACAGTTGTCTGATTAACATCTATTGATGGTTCAACTTGTAGAATAATGTTCTCAAACACTGTTATTCTATACATTTTTTATAGATCAACACCTCGGAACTTTAAATCGGTTTATCCACAATGATGCGACCCTTTTAGTTTATATTTCATCTGCAAACTGAATTTATAGATCTTACATAATACACTACCATATTTGGGGATGCTTTATGGAGTAGCTTCAATACCCTAAGATCATGCAATCTAGAGAATCTAATCACTAATGTATTAATAAATATGAAATTATCATTTATGCCGTATTAAGACCTTTTTAGAAAACTTTGAATATTGTTATTCTTAACCACGATAAGCATAACTGGCATTACATAAGATTCGATTTCAACATTATTTTTAACAATCCCATTTATAACAGTTCCATAGTATTTAAATGACGAACTGTATCAACCAATAACATTGACCCGTCTGAATATGTAGTCACTATTGATTTTCATGTTGCTTTTTAGATCCGAAATATGATGTGAACATTGAAACAATTTATAAGCAAAGATGGATAGTGGCTAGCAGTGGAATCCAGGATGCGCGTCAAGTCCTATTCGGGACTCGCCAGCTGGGTGTACCTGCATCTCAGAGTTGATGTTTACTCTGGGATAACGCGATGGTGTTTGAAGCGAAAGGTACTGGGTTCGAGTCCTAGGGTGAACATCAACTCTGAGATGCAGATGCATCCAGCTGACGAGTCCCAAATAGGACGAAACGCGCATCAAACTGAATTCCACTGTTAGCTACTATCCATCTTTCCTTACAATGTTTGTGAATTAAGGCTATATCGAGGCAATACGCATAGTATGCACATATTCCAATAAGAGACTGGTCAATTGCAGTATTAAACATCATTGGAAAGATTCAAACAAACAATACCAAGTGAATTGAAACAAATTGTTATCTCAACAATAATAGACATCGTCGTTTATATGTTTATTATTAAAAACGAAATCATTATCTCCTTATGTATGCACTTAAAAATGTGAACTGCATCATAATTGTCTCAGCTTTACTTAATTTCTGCCCTAGATACAAACATTCAATTTATAACTAAATTGAATGTTTAAAAAAAAAACTTGATGGTACTGTGGTGTGGTCTACTTATATCCATATAAGTAGTATATGGTGTGGGTCAGACATAGAATGTATTTTGGCAGAAGATCGATGAGGAAAGAACTGAAATGAAGCACAATCGTTTGGAAAATGCATGAGCAATGGAATAAGAGAAGAAACAGTGAAGATTGAAACAATTGGTTGTTAATTTGCAAATTGACTGTTCATTGTTTGGTTATCAAAATTTACTGAGATAGTCTGTAATCTTTGCTTAAATACATTCGATTGTCCCCAACCAGTATTCTGTTCATTACAGTACATGAATTAAAAATAGAATAAACTTTGTTTATTCGATGATGTACACTAAGATTTCTGAGGGTTCAGTAATAAATCCATCATAAACAACACCGATTCTGATTGGTGAAACATTTTCCGTTTTAAAAAATATTAGTCTTTAAAGTTTCTAAGTTTTTCATGGTGGTCTAGCTTTAATTGACTCATGATCTCAACTATATAAAATCACTAAAATCTTCACGAAACCCCCTTCTCCTAATTTAATTTCATCAAAGTATATGTAAACACATATATTGTTCATATTATAAACAGAGAAGATAAACCAATTAGTGAATCTTCATTGTTTTATTGAAAATATTAACTAACATATTACTTAAGTATTCATGATCCTCATCAACCTTAATTGAAGACATAATTTCAGTTTAACAGTTAGTACTTTCAGAATAATATAGCTGTGTCAGTTATGAAACTGTAACATGTTGGAACTATGGGGAAGAACAGAATGTTTTGATGTTGAACACTAAACTTTGCTTAATTCCTAAATAAAATTGAAGATTTAGTTGGTTGTGACAATATCGTACAAACAACTACATAAGAGAAAGAAATCGTTTTACATAATTGATGTAGTGTACGATTTACAGTTGTGAAGAATTAGAATTATTTTGAGTGAAAATAAGAAACGTCAGTAACATTAAGCATCGATTGAGATCACGAAGATATCAATGAAAGATCACTATTAAAAACCTGAAAGCACTGGATGGTCGTTTTGTCCCAGTATGTGACTCCCCAGAAGTGCGCATGCGGGACTCGAACTCAGGACCTTCAGTCTCTCCAGCGAATGCTCAACCTCCAGACGATTGAGCCGTCATCCAACAGTATTAATGTTTAATTTCAACCAATACACGATATTGCGCTACTTCTAAAACCCTATACTGATAATCATCATGTGCTCACTAGTGACTAGCTTCGAGAGGTAATTCTCGAAGTTCTAGTGGAGCTGATCCACGTCAGGTAGAGACAGGTATCTACCTCAGACATTGGAAGATGGTCGCACAATATCGTGGATTGTTTGAAATTAAACATTAACACTGTTGGATGTCGACTCAATCGTCTGGAGGTCCTGGGCTTGAGTCCCACGTGTTTGATCGTGGATTTAAACTTCTGAGGAGTCCCATACTGGGACAAAACGACCATCCAGTGCTTACAGGTTTTAATTAATGGTATTACCTTGATCGTCTCGTGATTTCGATAAAATTTATCAATCTCTACGACCCCTTACTGACCAAGATTTAGTTTCATCTCTTTTAAATTAATAGTTTATGCTACTGATAAATCAGACAATGATTTTTCAGACGATCACCTGGAGAATTCACATCCAAACTTTGAGTCCATCTAGTCTTAAAAAAACTATCATCAGTAAATAACATTCAATGAAAATCATTTAAACTCACTCATAAAGCGAAAGTTACTGGGTTCAAGTCCTATAGTGAACATCAACTCTGAGATACAGTTACATCCAACTGACGAGTCTCAAATAGGACTTAAAGCAGATCAAACTGGATTCCACTGCTATCCACTATCCATCTTTGTTTACAATACTCTTGAATAAGATTTAGCCGTAAGTATACAGTATGGCATAATAGAAGAATGATTCATTTTAAATTTCAACAGCCTTATATTAATTATAAAATTGATGATTTTAAACAAAATCAAGTTTCAAATTCATTTTAATAAAAAGGATATATCTTGTCATTCATTACTTTAATGTATATAGATAGATAGATAGATAGATAGATAGATAAATAGTTAGTGAGATAGTTAGATAGATAGATAGATAGATAG